GAGGAGGAGGAGGAGGAGGAGGAGGAAGAGGGCGAGGAGGAAAAGGAAAAGGAGCACGAGGAGGACGAGAAGGACGAGGCGGACGAGGGGGTCGAGGAGGAGGCGGAGGACGAGGAGAACGTGGAGGACGAGGAACACGAGGAGGACGAGGAGGAGGAGGAGGATGAGGAGGACAAGGAGGAGGAGGAGGAGGGCGAGTAGGAAAAGGAAAAGGAGCACGAGGAGGACGAGAAGGACGAGGAGGAGGAGGACGACGAGGAGGAGCAGGAGGACGAGGAGGACGAGGACGACGACGAGGACGAGGACGAAGAAGAGGAGGATGGAGGAGGAGGAGGAGGAGGAGCAGGAGGAGGAGGAGGAGGAGGGAAAGGAAAAGGAGGACGAGGAGGAGGAGGTGGAGGAGGAGGACGAGGATGAGGGGGAGGAGGAGGAGGAGGAGGAGGAGGAGGAGGAGGAGGAGGAGGAGGAGGACAAAGAAGGAGTGAAGAGGGTGAGGCCCGGCGCGCTCGGCTCTGCAAATCCCCCGCCTTTCCCCCCTTCGCGCTCGCCCTTCCTCCCCCCGGGGAACCGACGGGGGATGCCCGCACGAAGCCAGGGGGCGGCGTTCTGGCCGCCCTGAGGGTTGGCCGCTTCCCGCCTTGGCGCCAGCCTCCTCGACAGGAGGGTGCCAGCCTCCTGGGCGACCGCTCCCTCAGCCCAGGTCGGGCGAGTCGGGGGGGCGGGGGGCGAGAACTGACCTCCTGCGCCTCCTCGTCCCTCGCCTCCGCTCCTCCTCCTCCTCCTCCTCCGCTTTCGCACTCCTCCTCGGCCCTGGCGCTCCTTCTCCCTTGTTCCCCACCTCCTCCCTTCCTCCTCCGCTTCCTCTTCCCCTTCCTCTTCCTCGTCCTCTTCCATTCCTTCTCCCAACAAATAACCATTCCCTGTCGCGCAACGAGCCTTGTCGGAAGGGCGGGCCCGGCGTTTCGCTAGATATTTCTTCACCATATATGATCCTGAAGTTGAACAAGTGGTAGCGGCATCACATATGGAGGGCGGGCCGCTTACAACATGTGGCTCTCGCCTTAGCGCCGCGTTCGTATGAACATTTGCGAGAGCTTCAAGGATGGAGTCAGGGCGCAACAGTTACGTTGATTCGCGGTGTTGAAGTCCCAGGAATGGTGTCCTGGCACGGTTCAGGTTCGCCAAGACGCAACAGTCAGGTTAACACGCGGCGCTGAAGTCCCGGAAACGATGTTCTGGCACGCTTCAAGAATATCACACGGTTGTCCCCAACGGGGCAATCTCTCAGTGGAAATGAACCCTCTTGTAGGGGTCTATGAAGAGGGAACTTGGAGGAAGGGTGTCTTCTAACATCGTTGATGAATATTGGGTTTACGCTAGTCCTCCTCCTTTTCCTCCTCCTCCTCATCATCATCAGCACCATCATCACCATCATCACCATCGTCATCATCATCATGATCATCATCAGCAGCATCATCAGCATCACCATCAGCATCACCATCAGCATCAGCATCACCATCAGCATCAGCATCACCATCAGCAGCCATTAGCCATGAGCCATCAGCCATCCTCCATCAGCCATCCTCCATACTCCATCCTCCCCATTCTCCATCCTCCATCCTCCATCCTCCATCCTCCCGCCTCCTTCCTCCTTCCTCCTTCCTCCATTCTCCCGTCTCCTCCTCCTCCTTATCCTCCTTCCTCTTCCTCGTCCTCTTCCATTCCTTCCTCCAATGAATAACCATTCCCTGTCGCGCAACGAGCCTTGTCAGAAGGGCGGGCCCGGCGTTTCGCTAGATATTTCTTCACCATATATGATCCTGAAGTTGAACAAGTGGTAGCGGCATCACATATGGAGGGCGGGCCGCTTACAACATGTGGCTCTCGCCTTAGCGCCGCATTCGTATGAACATTTGCGAGAGCTTCAAGGATGGAGTCAGGGCGCAACAGTTACGTTGATTCGCGGTGTTGAAGTCCCAGGAATGGTGTCCTGGCACGGTTCAGGTTTGCCAAGACGCAACAGTCCGGTTAACTCGCGGCGTTGAAGTCCTGGAAACGATGTTCTGGCACGCTTCAAGATTATCACACGGTTGTCCCCCAACGGGGCAATCCCTCAGTAGAAATGAACCCTCTTGTAGGGGTCTGTGAAGAGGGAACTTGGAGGGAGGGTGTATTCTAACATCGTTGATGAATCTTGGGTTTACACTGGTCCTCCTCCTCGATCTTCCTCCTCCTCATCATCAGCACCATCATCACCATAATCATCATCACCATCATCATCATCATCAGCAGCACCATCAGCATCACCATCACCATCAGCATCAGCATCGCCATCATCATCATCATCATCATCATCATCATCATCATCATCATCATCATCATCATCATAATCATCATCATCATCATCGTCATCATCATCATCATCATCACCATCATCACCATCATCACCGTCATCATCATCATCATCATCATCATCATCATCATCATCATCATCATCATCATCATCATCATCAGCAGCAGCAGCAGCAGCAGCAGCAGCAGCAGCATCAGCCATCAGCCATCAGCCATCAGCCATCCTCCATACTCCATCCTCCCCATTTCTCATCCTCCATCCTCCCCATTCTCCATCCTCCATCCTCCATCCTCCCGTTTCCTTCCTCCGTCCTCTATCCTCCCGCCTCCTCCTTCTCCTCCTCCTTCTCCTCCTCGTCCTCTCGCCTCCTCCTCCTCCTCCTCCTCCTCCTCCTCCTCCTCCTCCTCCTCCTCCTCCTCCTCCTCCTCCTCTCCTCCTCCTCCTGCTCCTCCCCCTCCCAGAGTCAGGGCCCCCCCCCCCTGCTTCGTCCGACCCGATCGTCGACCCGGGCCTGGGGGCCGCCTTCGGCGCTGGCGCGGGCGCCTGCCTGGCGTCCGCCGCGCTGCTGCTGGTCCTGGCGTCCGTGCCCCGGCGGCTGGGGGAGGCGCCTGCTCTTGCGCACGCTGCTGCTGCTGCTGCTGCTGCTGCTGCTGCGAGCCGGGAGGGGGTCGGACGGAGGGAGGGAAGGGAGGGAAGGAGGGGGGGAAGGGAGGGAGGGAGGGAGGGGGAGGAGGAGGAGGAGGAGGAGGAGGAGGAGGAGGAGGAGGAGGAGGGGAGGAGAGGAGGAGGAGGAGGAGGAGGAGGATGCAGGAGGAGGAGGAGGAGGAGGAGGAGGAGGAGGAGGAGTACTCTAGAATGGGACGACGCCGATGCCTCTTCACATGTTTGCCCTTTGCGCGACCCCGCTGCAGTTTGCGGGGGTGCCCTTAAGCGCTGGCCTAAAACCGCGCAGAACGACGCAACTGCTAGAAGCCAAACTGTGATACAATGCTATTCCCCCTCTGCGCAATGCTGTGCTGCTGCCCTTCCCCTCTGCCACTCATTCCCCTTAGGCTCCCAACAATCGCCACAACTTCAAATAATAAGTTATTGAGCCAGATGAGGGATACACGCGAGACAACACCAGAGGACCTGCCCATCCCCACGAGTCAGTCCGAGCTACGGGCGCGCGGCGGTTCACAATTTAGCTCAGCCTTCCCAGGCGCTTGGCCGAGCCAACTGCGGACGAATGCCCCGACAGGGCGCTGGAAGCTCCTCACTCCTCCCGCCATCCCCCCTGCCCTGACCCCTAACCCTCCCGACCGCCCCCCAAAAGAGTCAAAAGAGTAATTACACATGGTTCATTTCTAATTATTCGAAGGTTCTTTGATTTTTTTGGGGGGCCCAGAACCTTTCATTTCTGATAATTCTATCCTGGGCCTCTTCCTGGCCACTAGGGGGCCAGGAACAATTAAGAACGAGCACGGTTAGAAATGAACGACGAGTGTGGTGCAGCCGATCCGCAGCGACTTGCAGCCCAGCCTCTCGCTCGGCCTTCCCGGGCCCTTGGCCACGCGCGTTGCTGGAAGAGGCGCCGGACAGGCGCCAGAGGCGCCTGCTTCCTCCCACCTTTCTCCTCCCACCTCCCGGCCCCACCCCCAGGACGTGGTACATTCGAAGAGGAGGGAGGAGGAGGAGGAGGAGGAGGAGGAGGAGGAGGAGGAGGAGGAGGAGTTTTGGTAGTCTACGAACAGTGTGTAGCTCAGACCTGGCAGACCACGATGTCTAAGATTTATGGAGTGAGTAGAATGGAGCTAATAGACGGGCCCCCGATCAAGTTCACGTTCGGAGATAGCCAGAGGACGAAATCCCTAAGTCATGCCCTTCGCCCCAGATATTTCCCAACCAGAGCTTGCCTCTGTAGGGGTCCTAGCAGATTCATATGGTTAGGTTAGCTGCGTCTCCGACTTCGGCGGCCCGCCTGGGCGCCCAGGTGCCCGGGTTCCCGGGTGCCCGGAAGCTGCTGCGCCGCCGATTTCGGCGGCCCGCCCGGGTGCTTGGTAGCCCTTTAGCCCTATAGCCATATAGCCTTCTAGCCTTATAGCCCTGTAGCCCTTAGCCCTGTAGCCCTATAGCCATATAGCTCTATCGCCCTATAGCCCTGGAGGCCTATAACCTTATAGCCGTATAGCCTTATAGCCCTACAGCCCAAAATTATTATAGCCCTTTATAGCCCTATGCCCTTGTAGCCTTATAGCCCTATAGCATTAGAGCCCTATAGCCCTATAGCCCCATGGTCTCACAGCCCTATAGCCCCATAGCCTCATAGCCCCAAAAGCCCTATATACCTATAGCCCAATAGACCTATAACCCTATGGTCCTATGGCCCTGTAGCCCCATAGCCCTACAAAGATTCGGATCTGACTTCCCGGTATTATGTGGATGGAAGCAAATGCGATTTTCTAGTTTCGGTTGTAGACGAAGAACCCCAATTCTCTTGGGCATGGATTTCCTAGAGCACATTGGGATCAGCATGGATTTCGAGCTCGGCACGATTCGGTTTAAGCCTCTGAGCGAGAAGGCTCACTTGCTTGAAATATCTCGATGTGGACTTTTGCTGATAGATGTCGGGCCAGATGCCGAATGGAGAGAGGTGGTGTCCGACGCA